AGCTTTTCCCAGTTTTACTAACCTTAGACAGTTCAAAAATCGGATTAACAAGCTCGGCTGCTTCGGTATGGTCTGGTCAGGTGCTGGAACTGTTTGCCATCGCTATGGATTCATAGTTGCAGTCTTCTGCACGTTGACTCAACAGCAGTTTCGACATCGGCAGCAAGAACTTGATCGATGGCAGTCTTTATGCGCTCTACCATACAGGGTGGCACAACGAAAAGGTCGCATCCTTATTTGCGACTTTCTTGGTACATTTTGGGGAAAACGCTAGAACAAGTCAGTTTTGATTTCTAGGGGGTGGTCTCTCATATACACAATGCAGGGTCATCCAAAAATAAGATATTGAGTAACACCTTAGATTTTCAAATAGAAACCTCATTTTTTTAATTTTTAGACTTTATATGAAATTTTTAGCAACTTCTGTATAATAAAGCTTATACATATCTTCAATTGTTTTGAAGCTATTTGAGTTTATAATAAAACTCTAGAAATTGTGATCATAACCGCTCATATCATAAAAATAATAAACAATATAGTTCCCATAGTGAGAAGACTTTACTTTAAAACCAAAAACAGGTCTCGTAGTATTAGACAAACAAAAAAGACTTACGGCTTACAGGCACATTTTAGTTGAAGTAAAAATTAATTTGCTATCAAGAGGTAAGGTCAATGTGGCAGTCAGTGCTGGAAGTGCTGTCCATTTTCCTCCACACAATAATAAAGATTTTATTCGAACCTATCCCTCACATATTCAAGCATGTATTGAGGTATTTGTCTACATTCAGCCGTAATCCGCTGATGAAGATCTCGAATGAAATCTGGCTTCGTACTAAAAATCTTTACTTTTCAAATGCCCCCAAAGAAAGTAATCTCCTAGGAGATCTCGGCGGCCACTCGATGGAACTTCGTCTGCCGATCCACTGATTCGAGAAATGGCTGTCCAAAAACTGTCGTGCTGGAGCCACCTAGTTGCGGCATCACCTTGTCTCATCACGTCACCTTCTATTATTTCAGTGATTCGTGGCCCTATTGTATCTTCTGACATGTCCAAGTACGTCTCGCCCGTCAACGAATAAATAAAGGTCCTACAATATGATTTCCTGAAATTCTGGCCGACACATTTATTTTTTTGCGAGTGTACTTCTCGAAACTAATGTAGATTCGGGTCACAATATCGACAATTATGTCTATTTATAGCACCATGTAAACAGAATCTACACCCGTCCGAGACACAAATATTGAATAACAGACTTGCATTGTAATTGAATGTTGGGACATTCATTCGCAAAACTCCAACCTTCTATACAAATAGACTTCATTAAGCTCCATGGACAAGTTTTATTTTGTGCCGGTGAAATTTATTGTCTTTCAAAATTCTTTGTATTGTTGAGCGCGTAAATCCTGAAGAAATAACCAGTCCATGAAATGCTTCGAGTGTTGTCGAGTACTACGTGTCCCAAAGCTGCTATTTCTGCTGCTTGATTTCTAACTGTTCGATTTTCTCGATGGCGATTACGGCGAATGTTAGACACAGATCCAGTTTCTTCAAATTTTCTTATCAACTCAGCCACATACTTATCCTTAATATTTTTGTCTGGATGTAACGCATTAAACAAACGGTCAGTAGCTCTTGTAAAGTTTCCATTTTGTGTAGGAACTTAGCAATTTGAAATGAAATTCAAGGTTTTTCTATGGCATACGGTGACACTGACTGATGCTAAATGTTCTTGCTAGTATCTATGATTATAATTTTTGTCGTGCGTTCTATTATTATTAGTATTGAGTTAGTCGAATTCTTATAAACTCAAATAGCCTCAAAATGACTGAAGATAGGTATACACTTTATTATACAGAAGCTATTGAAAACTTCCATGGAAATCTGAACATAAAAAATGGAGATTTCCATTTAAAAACCCAAAGTGTAACGCAATATCTTATTTTTGGATTACCCTTTATTGTACGGCTAGGGATGAAAAGAAATCCAAATTGGAATGTCCGAGCGTTTTTCCAAAAATATACCAAAATAGTCACAAATGGCGTGCGTTCGTTGGGCCACCCTGTATAGCAGCCAAAAAGCATAATATCTTATTTTCGACAAATTTTGGAATAAGGTCTTGCAATGCTCTCATTTTGATAATACAGTTTTGTTATTTCCACCCTTTCTTGAATTGAATAAGCCATTGTTCAATATTTATCACAACTAGGTAGGTAACGTAACAATTTGAAATGAGAGACATAGTTTTTCTATGACATACGATGACAATGACTGATGCTAAATGTTCTTGCTGGTATCCATGATTGCTATTTTATTCCGTGCATTTCATTATTATCAGTATTAAGTTAGTCGGATATTATTATAAAGTCAAATAACTTCACACCGATGGAACATACGTATAAACTTTATCATACAAAAGTTACTAAAAACTGAATGTAGAATATAAAAGTTAAAAAAAAAAAATGGGGGTTTCCATTTCAAAATCCAAAGTGTAACGCAATATCTTATATTTGGATCCGCCTGTATTGTACGGATATAGATGAAAAGACGTCCCCCTAGACATCAAAATTGCCGTGTCCGAGCGTTTTTCCCCAAATATACCAGGGGAGTCACAAATTGCGGTGCGACCTTTTCGTTGGGCCACCCTGTATGTTGCTGTGTAGCCGGCTCCGATAATCGGTATCTCTTACTCTGCCAGAAAAATAAAAACTTAGCCAAGTCAGAGCAAGATATTTGAAAGTGGAATCGCAGAAGATTATACTACATAACGAAAGTAGTCGATTTCACCACCATTAAAACCTAACGGGATCTTCGACCAACTAGGGGAGGGCTTATTGCAATGCAATTTGACGGAATATGTCAAAGCTGTCCTAATATCAGTCATTTCTGCTGAAATATTGAATAAAATCGTGAAAAAGCGGTTGTTTTATAATTAAGGGTACATACTAGATGTAATACTCAGAGACGAGCTTTAGAATCAGGATAACTTTCATAGAATTGCCATTAGGTTCAGTCCTGGTCGGAGTAAATATTTAGAATACAAATCGTAGTACTCTCGTTTGTTGTACCAAACCCCACGATTTCAAAGGGCGCACGCAGCGAAAGAAAGCGGCACCGCTCCGGTTCCCCCTACCTTCCTCCCTTCTGGCCACCTATACACATTCATTCCTTGTTCTCGTGCCAAATCGTTAAGACGTCAATCGGCGCGCATATTTTCTACGTTTTCAGCAGTGTCGAGGATCCGCTGAACGTTTAGAATTCGAGAACAGGACAGAAGGTTGGCGGATAGATATGCATTGCCGAACGAGATACCGACCGACGGAAGGTTCTTTCTGGAGGGGCGTCAGCATCAGGTAACTGTCGACTAACCGATCTGTTTTAGGTGCCAAGTTGAATGATATTAGAATGAATGCCTCACCGACGCTGCAGACTGTGCCTAACATGACGTTTGGGATAACGTTCTGACACTGTTGCTTGGGATGGCAGCCTGGACATAGCTTGTGATAGCCAACTTTATACCTAGGACGAACAAAGACGTTTGGGATAATGCTGAAACATTGGACTCGGGTGCTTGGGATAGCAACGTGGACCTGGCTTGGGATAGTCAGCTTCACACCAAGGATGAATAAAGATGTTCGGGATAATGACACTCAATTCTGAACTCCGTTGCACAAATAACAACACTGAAAGCGTTTGGGACAACGTGGCAACAAGGTATGGTCAGGAATATTTTCTCATTTGCTTGTGATAGCAAATTTCATCTGGTTTGTGATAACCATGGAACAGGACTGTAAGTTTGAACATGGCAGGTTAGGAAGTCGTTAAGATATATTTTTTCCTTATTACCAGATCGACATTAGGTATCTTATGCGAGATTAGAGTTACATTTTGCTTGTGACGGAAAATTCCATTTGGTTTGTGATAACCTTGGAACAGCATAATAAGATTGTACCAGACAGTTTAGGAAACCGCCGAAGTACCATTTTTCATTAATAACAAATAGAGATCAGGTTCATCTATGCGAGACTAGCGTTACATTTTGTTTGAGATAGCAGATTCCATCTGGTTTGTGATTGCAATGTAGCAATATAGCATTTTTCATTCATAACGGCTAAAATTTGGGTACATCTATGTGATACTAGCGGTACATTTTGCTTGGGATAGCAAATTCCATCTGGTTCGTAATAACTATGGAACAATATTGTAAGGATGCACATGAGAAGTTAGGAAGAGGCCGAAGTACCATTTTTCATTAACGAACGACAGAGATTAGGTACATCTATGCGAGACTAGCGTTACATTTTGCTTGTGATAGTAGATTTTACCTGGTTTGTGATAACCATCGAACAGGTGTGTAATTGTGAACATATCAGGTTAGAAAACCGCCAATGTAGGTATATTTTTTCTTATCGCCAGATAAAGAATAGGCACCTTATGCGAGGTTAGCGTTACATTTTGCCTGTAATAGTAAATTTCATCTGGTTTGTGATAACCTTGGAACATCTTTGTCAGAAAGCACATGACAGTTTAGGAAGCCACTGAAGTACCAATTTTTGTTAATAACAGATGGGGATTAGGTTTTATCTAAGTGAAACTGGCGTTACATTTTGCTTGTAATAGCAAATTCCATATGGTTTGGAATAGCGATCAAACAGGTAAATAATATGCACATGACAGATTACGAAATAGCTGAAGTACCATTTTTCATTAACGACATAGAAATTAGGTACATCTATGGTAGACTAGCGTTACATTTTGTTTGTGATAGCAAATTCCACTTGGCTGATGATAACTATGAAACAGGACTGTTCCGTATGAACATGACCTGTTAGGAGACCACCAAAGTCCTAATATTCAGTAATAACGGAGGTTAAACCTCATTATGCCCGATTAACGTTACATTTTGCGTAGGTGGCACTCGAGCAGCAGGGCGCTCCGGATTGTGTTTTCTTAAAGGCCATGTAGTCTGCTTTCGGGGGCAGGTCTTGTACTAGTAGTAGTAGTCCTTTATTTAGAAAAAAAAATCCTAATTTCATAAACAACAACAACAACTGATAGCATTACAGCATTTCACAAGTACATAAGGTACATATATAAATTTATACATACTTATTTATAATACAAATATAAATTTAACAAATTCTGTCAGATCTTATGTGTTTGATAAGTGCTTTCTTGAAATACCCGACTGCGTCGGCGTTTTTTATTTGCTGGGGCAACTTATTGTATTCACATAGACCTTTGTACATTATTGTTTTCATTGTACTCTTCATATTTGTTATATTTACATGGAAATGAGTACACGCCCTAGTGTTATATGAATGGATCTCATTATTTGGGCGTAGATGCGCCCTAAATAATTAGGTAATGTTCCCTTCACAATTTTATAAATTAATAGCATTGCTGTTAAATAAAGATGTTGGTTCACCGATAACCACTGTAGAGTATCCAGCATGTATTCAATTCTTGTGTACCTAGAGCACTGTAAAATTATCCGCATTCCGCTATTTTGTTTTTGTAAGGTGCCTATTTTGTTCTTGCTAAAGAAATATAATAAAGATGAACAGTACTGAAAATGAGATTTTATTATTGTATTGTAAACCGTAATTCTTGCAAACATTGATAGCTGTTTAGAAACTCTTGAAAAAAAATAAAGTTTCTTTGAAATTTTCTTAATAATATAGTCACTATGGCTGTTAAGGTTTAGGTTTTTATCCAACATAAATTCAAGGTATTTCATTGTATCAACTATATCAAGAACTGTCTTTTCAATTTTAATTTGTATATTAGCTTTTAGTTTATGACGATAGATGAATAAATTCTGTTCTATTCTAGCCACCTAAGTTGAACCAGGTGAGATAGCGAAAGCCATAATAGATATTGTCGCACGCAGGGATGCGTGCTTGTTCTGTGTACAGCAACGGTGTACAGCAACATGTGAGCTGTTCATTAACTGCAAGTAGCAATACTCTATCCTCTAGGTTCAAAGAATGGAGAGGATCGCATGCTGGCAGATATTCACATTAAAGCAAACAACTCATTGGTACTCTGAAAGAGGCTTCCATTGATATCTTGTTCTTCGGTGTAGGTCTAACCAAGTAAGTCAATTCTAAATAGAAATCAGAAAAACATTAGCAGCAACTGAAAAGAAAAACGTCAGATATCACCCATTATTGATGTATATGAGGTATGTAAATCAGCAGAGACATTGACGCGTATCCGTCATCAATGGCAGAATTTTAACGACACTATCCCACTAAGATAATATAACTTAAGGTCTACCTTCGGCTGGAGCACAACGAAAGTGCCAGATGCGGTCATATGTATTGAATTATCCAATTTTTGGTTGTATAATTTATCGGACTGGGACATTCGTTGGCCAGGGAAAAGTCTCATAGTTTTTGGTCACCCGAGAGGAAGATCCCGCATGCTAATCATCAAGAACCACTCGTAGTTTTTTTCTGTGGTGAATGATTTGCTACCGAATTGATGGGCTGTCGCATATTATACCCCATCCTACATCAATAGAATGGTGAGCTTCTAGTTTCCACGTCTGGACCAGGTTGCGGGAAAATTTTATCAATTCTGCAAAGAGAGAAATCTTACTGCTCTCGCGTCATATATAAAATCTAGGAGTAGTACTGGTACAGATGAGCTTTTGCGTCAGCGAGACGTAGAAACGGAGTGGAAGCTACGCCTCTCACCGTCTTGATTTTGGTTCAAGTAGTCGGTGCTTCTGAAATTTCACTTCTAGAAGTATAGCATGGATCTGACGGAGGACCCAGGACGCCGCTCCCACTGATTTTGAAGCTTACCCCGGTTGTCGTAACTGGAAAGCTGTCATTCCAATCAGTATCGATAATCCATCACGTATTGTGGGCTATTAGACTACGGTAGGACCTTTGTCGGGAAAAAATACATGTCTGGTTTTCTACCTTGAAATTTCTTACCTTACCAAGTGACAAGAGATCAAGATATAATTGTTTGAGCTATCAGTCTTTTACCCAAAGTGTTACTAACGATGCAGACATACGAGGCATGTCTTTTATGTTTTGCATATGGAAATTATACAACACGGTAGGTAGTTTTAAATGACTTTATTGTTTTTCGAAGTATTCTCCACGAAGATTAATACACATCTGCATGCGCTCGAACCAATTTTCGGAGCACTTATTCACTCGTTTGCTGGCATATCCAAAACGGCATTTTTGAATGCGTCAACTGCTTCTTCTGGTGACTGGAACCTTTGACCACGCAGTCTGTTTTCAATTTTAGGGAAAGTAAAGAAATCGTTAGGACTTAGATCGGGACTATATGGAGGATGGTCCAACAAGTCCTCGTTTTCTTCCATTAAATTCTGTCTTGTTTTTTGGGCTGTGTGCGAGCTTGCATTGTCTTGCTGGAGGATAATTCTTCTTTCGGGGTTGATTTTTCGAAGCTCGGTGATGACTTTTGGCAAACAAATGGTGGTATACCAATCCGCAGTAATAGTTCTTTGTTCATTAAGAGGAATTGTTGCAATATGACCTGCTTTTGACACAAATGTCGCGACCATCTTTTTCGATACACTTCGAGAACGGATGACCTTTGTTGGCTTTTCTTCACCTTGGAACAGCCAAACAGCCGACTGTCGTTTATTTTCTGGTTCATAATAGTAAATCCACGATTCATCACCACTAACAATGCTGTACACATTTTTTGAGTTTCCGGAATTGAAACGGTCAAGCGTTTTTTGACTGGCTGCTTTCTGCTCTTCAGTCAACAGGTGTGGTATCCAACGAGAGACTAATTTTCTTACTCCTAATTCTTCATTAAACATTTTTTGAATTGAGGTCTTTGAGATCTTCAAGGACGCCTCAATCTCGCGATATATTACATGTCTATCTTCAATGATGAGTTTGCGCAGAGCATCGCCGTTTTCCTGGGTGACTGCCGTTTTTGGTGCACCCACCCTGGGATCGTCACTAAGACCCACCCTTCCACGTTTGAATTCTCCATTCCAACGGGAAATTATCGGCTGATGTACCGCTTCGTTGCTGAAAACAGACAGTAACTCAGCAAGGCATTCTTGTTGCGATAATTGTCTCTGAAAGTTGTAATAAGTTATGGCGCGAAAACGTTCTCGGTTGAGTTCTATTTTTCTAATGACTTGTTGATACTTAAAAATTCGCTGTAGTGAGAACACTGCACGTATTGTTGTGAATCGTTGAATTTAAGTTTACTAAAGAGTGAGGTTAAGATTCAGTAACTGACGTACGATCCGCGCAGCCTACTATGTTTCTATATGCAAAACTTAAATGACATCCCTCGTAAAATGGTTTTTGAAAAGCATTTACAGGCTGAGGCCACCTCAACTGTAATATAGATACTGGGGTTGTTCTCAACCAACCAAAGTGGTTGCTGGTAAGCTCTGTAGAAATTTGGATGAGGAAATCAGCAATTCTGCTAGCTCTAACCTCAGGTCAGAGTGTACAAACTAATTGAAACAGACATCCGGATTGGGTTGAATAATACTGAAATTGAGATTTCTCAGTTTTTGAAAGTCTCGCGGTCACTCATGTGACAACCGCTTATGTTTTACCATATTTTACGCCCAAATATCTGTGCAGTCAAAGTATTTATTTGTCACTGTACAGTAACTTCCTCCCAGATGGATGAAGTCGGCCTTAGCAGAGAGTGTCACAATTGACAACCTACAGTACATGAAATGCGTCTACCTCTCCGCCTGTTAAATTATAGCAGTCTCAGGCTCGCGACGGGCTGGAGTACGCTTTCTGAATTACGTCACAAGTCTCTTATGCAAAACAATAGTTCTGCTCAAGCGGCATTTGAGGTGAACCAAGTCTCCACACCTTAAACATAACTATGTTATTATGTTATTTACTTACTACCATGTATTGGATGGTAATTTTTAAACCCGAACTTGAGTTGTTGCAATGGAAATGTACATTTAGTTGATACATACATTGCCTACAATTATTTGTGTGGTTGTGTACATCCTATCGTTTACTATTGCAGAGTGTTAGCAATATGTTGTTGCAACTAGCTTTGAATATTTACGATGTGTATTCTAAATATTTACTTCGACAAGGACACATAATTAAGATCGAACATCACTTACAGGAAAGTTAGTTTGATCATGTCAATTTCTATCACTTCATAAAAGACGGGAGCTTATTTGAATGGAATCAAAATGCGAGAAATATAATAGATCCATTATCTAGCTATTATATTTAATAGAATGTTTTCACTGTTTTTAACGACTGTCCATGCATGGTAATCTAGTTTTGTCTCTATATCACATACAGGGTGTTGTACATAATACGTACCTGAAGAAATGTACCATTTTTTTTATTTTGCAAAAAAGGATATAAAACGTATTCCAACTGGTTCATCACATTTTGTTACATAAACAAAAATTTATTACCAAGTTATGATCTAGAAATCCACACCAAATGTAAACAAACAGTACATTCTGCATTCCTGGGTCCTAAAACAAGGATATTTGTAAATGTATCCGCATCCACCTATTATTTATCGTCTAGATTTCTAGATATTATAAGTCAGAATCAAAATACCTATTTACCAAAATATTTGAAAAACTTATTGTTATCTTTCTTATGTATTTGAGTTGGAAGTTAGAAGACATCTGGAATGCTAGTTTCTTTTGAAGTGTTCTGCAATGTTGCCGAGCCCAAAAAAAAAAACGGAATCGGTAAATAGTGTCGTTGAATTCAATATAGAAGCAAATGCCGTCCCAAGATCAGTGGAGGATCAAGGACCATTGAGTCAGGCAGCGTCGTCAATGAAAAAAGTTTATTATTGTATCGTGTGCGCACTCAACATGTTTTTGAGGGCATAGTTATATATTACAACTTGTACAATGTGCATACTGGTCGCTTGCAACCATTCTGGAAACTGCTTTTTCGATTCTTGCTTATAGGATTGTGGATATTTTTCTGTTTTACCACTGAACGCATAGGTTTCGGTTTCTTTATTGCTTATTCGTTGATGCGGTAATGACGGATATCTACCAGTCTGTACCTTTTGTACGCACAAAAATCAATTCAGGGCAAGCGGAATAAGGGATTTGCGTTCGTAGTCATTCACAACCCAAATCTACGCATCTTCGTGCTCGAGTGCCTGAGTGTGTTATGATGAGACTTTTAGCTTTATTTTTTGTTCTAGCCCTTTTTCGGCAAGTATATTTGTATTATTTTGAAAAATTGTGGAAAATGACGTTTTTGTAAATATCCTCATGTCGGTAAAAATACCGGATAATCCGGTTGAAGTCCATGCAATAGACAGTCTGGAACAT